GGACTCGATGTGGTATATGGGTGGGAATGGGGAGTCTGGACTGGTCTGAGTAGTAAGGATCCCAATGCAAGCAGATCCCATGGTGTCTGAGCCCCTTGTTAAGTCCTGTGAGGACACTTGTCACCTTTATACCCTGCAAGCTTCTCCTGGCATGGTGTCCATTTAGCCACCTTGCTTTCTGATACACACCTGGCCCCAGCAACACATATGAACATCCTCAGATTGTACAGCAAGTTTGACAGCCCAGCCTCCCACTGTGTGGGGTCAGATGTGTGAGAAAAGTAGGGATGAGTCCCCAGGCCTCCCCCACAGCCCCCACAAGTGATGGGTGTCTGAGAATGTTTCAGTCAGTTTTCCAGGTGAAGGTCAAGCCAGAATTAGAGACTTCCTCCTTTTAAATGTGGTGGAGTCCTTAAAGCCTTTGCAGTTAGTATAAAGACTATTTTTGAGACTGTTACAAAAGATAATTGCTACATTGTCCCCACAACCCTCCTGCATAATGAAGCTGGCCTTCCCACCTCTCCTCCTGCCTCAGAACAGCCTCAGGAGAATGAAGCCCAGGTAAACTGGGATTTATTTTAGTAAGAAGCTCCTGACCAGGGCCAGGAGGTAAATCGCTATGATGCTGCATGTGAGTAATGGCTCAGAGGGGAAGAGTGAGCACCGCCAGGCCTGACTATCTGAGTCTGACCGCTGGGACCCAAATGGTGGAAGGGCGAGCAGAACCAACTTTTACAAGTTGTCCTCAGTTACAGGTGCACTGCAACACATTTATGCGCACACACATCGCCACATCACTGTGCACGTGTGCACACACACAGAGAGAGGTGTTTTTTTCTTGTTTGTTTGTTTGTTTTTAAAGCTTCCTGACATCTAGTGGGCCCCTCTTAAGCCCTCTAATCTCTGGCTCTTTGAAAAACGTTTTGTCTTCTTTTGCCTGTGTATGAACCTCTCCATGCAAGTCTGTCAGGTTTCAAGTCTCCAGATGGAGCTCTTTATAGAGATGGTTAAAGTGCTGTCCACAGCATCACTACAGCCCCACTGTGCCCGCCCCAACTCTGGAACTCATAGACAACCCAAACCCTGGGAGGGGGGGATGGGAGATTTATGCTCCTGGCTCACCTCTGCCATCAGGGCTCAGATTTACTGGCTGAGTCACACTCCCGTGTTTCTTTCAGAGTATGACTTCATCTTTGCCCAGGCTCCAGGCATCAGGTTGCAGAGGATTCTAGAAGTGCTTTTTAAAGCTAAGGACAGCCATGTGCAAGAATGCTGGGCTGCTTGCTGGCTCTCTGCGAAGTCACCCTGATTCAGAACACAGGAACATGTTGGGAAATGACTTCCTCTCTCTTCAGAAAGCCCTTGTCACTTGTTTCAGATGAGTCTGGGGTACCTATCTTCCCCACCCCAGCCCCAGAAAACAATCCCTGTCAGGACAGGACTCCTCTGCAGTGGACTAGCCTGCACTCTGTTCCCTCCTCAAAGGCTGGCCATGTAACCATGGTTCGCAGTTCATTTAGGGCCTGAAAAGGCGAGAGAAGGAAGTAGGGGGTCTTGCAATAAAAGAGTTTTCCTTTATCCCAGATAAAGATAAAATGGCTTGAGATTTACAGACAGGGAAAATATCACCCCCAACCCCACCCCTCCACCCCCTACCACTTTGTTCCTGTGTTCTGGAACATCACATGAAACAAGGGTATTGACATGTCATTACAGACATAGCTTGCCTGCGAGCCACCATAACAAAACACCATAGACTGAGTGACTTAATGATTTGTTCTTTAAAACCTGGAGATTGGGAAGGTCAAGGTCAAGGTAGAGCTGAGCTGCCTTCTGGCTCACAGACAGCTGTGTTTCACTGGCTCTTCACATGGGAGAGCATCAAGGCAGCTGTCCAGGGTGCACTCAGATGCACATGTCCCATTCTTGAGAATCCCATCCCCTTGGAAGTTAGAATTTTCACATGATCTGAGGGGGACCCAACAGTTGGAACACCTCTCTGGCTGTATTTGTTTTCTTTCTCTTGTTTGCTCTTTAAAACTTCAGTCCACAACTAATGTGAAACATGTATCCAAATAACAAAAACTTTACAAAGCATATTTTCCATATTTGTTTTCTTGTGTTGCATGCAAAAGCTGTAGTTGTGGGGCTAATGAAAGCTCAGAGGATGAAGTGCTTGCTGGGAAAGAACGAGGAACTAGGTTTAGACCTCCAGCACCCATAAGTCCAGGAATGGTAGTCCTCAACTACAGTGGGGCCAGCAGATGCTGGGGCTCCGTGGCCAGTTCCTCTAGCCAAAACAAAGCTCCGCAATCAGTGAAGACCTTGCTTTGGAATGTTACAGAAATGATGAAGTGGAGAATTATAGACACATGGGCATTGATGCCTCCACGTATGGACACACACACAAGCATACATGTGTGTGCGCGCGCGCATGCGCGCGCGCACACACACACACACACACACACACACGCATACATAAGTTACACATAAGCACTAATATAGTCTAGTTATTTAAGTGGATGCTTATTTGCTGCTGGCACTGCCATTCAGGTATCTGGCTCAGCAAAGCTGGCTTCTCTGCTCAGGCTACAAACAAGCAGTCAGCCAGCTCCCTTGTCATCCTGGGCTCTGCCCTCTTCCCACCGTTCTCGCAGCTGTAGGACTGAAGTCCTTGCTTTCTTGTTGGCCAGTGACTCTTCCAGGGTCCCTGTCCATGTCAGCAAATGGAGAACTTCTTTCTTGTCATTTGCCCCCCTAAAAAAGCTTCTGAGATGGTCAGCCTTGGGCCAATGTGACAGATTCCTGAGTCTTAATGGGAGGAAGTGATTATTTGGGCTGTGGGCTGGAAGTCTCCGTTTGTGTTGCTTTGGGCTTGTGGCAGAGAAAGCTGCTTACCTCGTAGCATCCAGGAAGAAAGGAGAGAGAAAAGAAGAGAGTCAGGGTCCCAGTGTTACCTTCAGGAGCACAAACCTGATTTCCTCATTAGGCCCCATCTCTTAGAGGTCCCATGACCTTTTAACAGCTCCACAAAAAACCCAAAAGCAGGTCTTTAGCATATGAGCCACTAGGGGACAATCCAGGCTCAAACCGTAACAGTCTCCAGTGTCTCTGACTTCTGTTTCTGCCACCAACTGGAGGAAATTCTCTATGCCTTTAACCCCAGCACTCCAGAGGCAGAGGCCAGTTGATCTTTGAGAACAGCCAGGGCTACACAGAAAAACCCTGTCTCAAAACAAAACAAAAGCAACAGTAGCAAAAGCCAGTGTGATTAAGTCCGCCCAAGGGATGATCTCGCTGTCTAAAAGCCAGCAGAGAACTATGGTCTCACATCACACTCAGGACTTTGGCCCAGAGCCTCAAGGATGAGCAGCAGTGGAGACATCTTAGATGCACCAGGCTGGCCTTTTGCAGGGAGTTTCACTCAGCTTCCTACCACAAATGGGCTTCAGGTTTCATCCCCAGTCCTGCTCAAGCTTGGAAAACCCAAACACTGAGTGTACTATTTTCTAATAGTTCCATGGACTATTCAGGGGACTCTGGCAGCTCGAGCATGATGAGCATGACTCTGGCAGGCCTTACCCCTCTCCCCCATGCCCTCTGCCTTGCTTAAAACAACAACAACAACAACAAAACAAACAAACAAACAAACAAAAAACCCGGTTAGATTACATTACATTCCAGTAGCAAGCCCCCAAGTTCTCCCTTATTCAGCCACTGCGTCCTCTTGAGGCTGACCACCAAGGTCTAGCTATCAAAGTATTAAAGTCCAGCATTCAAAAGCCCCCTTTGGCTCACCTAATTAACATGCCCAATTAAAATAAAACACCTCTTCCTAACACGGGGTTTCCCATTTTACCATTATAAACTGCCATTTGCCTGTCTCCTCTCTATGCAGAGGCAGTCCTTTGTCCCTGTGGGAAAAATAGCCTTGCCTCCTTCCCCTTATTCTCTTCCTCTTGTCCCTCTTCCTCTATACTCTGTCTTTGTCTCTTATCCTCTGTCCTCTGTCCCTCTGGGATAAATAAATCTTCTTTGTGCTGAGAGCTTGGTCTTGGGGGTCCTGAGCTGATTCTTTTCCTTTCAGTGTTAAGCTTCGGTTCCTTCTTTGCCACGGTTTGGCTATGTGTCCTCCTGAGACTCCTATGTTAAAGGCTTGGCCCCCAGCCTATGGCACTATTGATAGGTGGCAGGACTTCTAGGCAGCGACATTAGGAGCCCAGCTCCTCCCTGATCCTCTTCACTTTTAGTTACCACTACACACTTACCATTGCCCCATCACTAGAAGCAGCAGAGCCACAGGCTGGCTCACAGGCTGAAACCTCCAACAGTGTGAGCATGGCTGTCTGTCCCTCACTTTATGCTGATTTGTCTCAGGTATTTGTTATAACAGCAGAGGGCTGTGTGGTCACAGCTCTAGGTTTTGATTCCCTTTCCATCTTCCATGCCTGTGGCCTTCCTTTTGTTGCTCTTCTGATTGTCACTTATTTCAAACTACTTTTTTTTTTGGTTCGTTTTATTAATCAGTGTGTTTAAGAGTTTAGAATGATTGGGATTTTTCTTCAGCAGTGTATCAGCTGGATTTTCTAGGTTTTTGTTGGTGTGTGTGTGTGTTATAGAAATATACAGCTAGAGTCCATAGAACTATATGAGTTGTGAGGAGTGACTGATTTCTAGGCAGAGAAAAAGGTCTATCCACATGAAAATACCCACCCTAGTGTGTTCAGCTCTCAGATAGTGCCCCCCCCCAAACACTCTCTGTATCACCAAGAACACTAAAATGTCTGGAACATAAGAAAAGTAACTTGCCATGTCCTTCTGAGGTAAAAATAGTTTATGATAAAACAAGCAGCTTATCGGGCACAGGAGAGTCTCTCGAACTGGCTTCTCTTACCCGAATGGTTATTTTAAACCTTTCCCTGTCACTAACAGCATATTTGCTCCATCTCTGCTTCGGATCTTTAAGGTATCTTCAAAATGTTATTCTGTGCTCTTTTCAGATGTGGCTGAGCAGTATTTTCAGGAAAGCATGACTCATGTGAAGGGTTCTGAAGGAGCAGGAAGAGCCAAGTTCCTTTCCATTCAAGATGAATTTTGCAATTTTCTGCAGATCACTGGACAAAAAGAAGTAAGTGAGTTTAGGTCACAATTGTCAAGCTGTTCCTATGGGACACCAGATACCATTCCTTCAGCCTTCAACCATCTGTTAAACACCTCGTGTGTACAGGACATGTCCTAGCCTCTGGAGGGACCCAGGTAAGTAAATCAAGGAGCCACTCTCAGGCAGCATCCACATGCTTCCTCTTAGAAACAAAACTGTGAGAAACGTCCAACTATGAGAGGTGACAAAGGATTGAACCCTGCTCACTGCAGCCATGGCTCTTCCAGCTGGGATGTGTGTGGCACTCAGTGTGCCCAGTCCCTTTCTTCTTCTGTGTATTGGATGGGGTTTTCATATCTAATGACAACTACCCAGCACAGAGTCCTCAGCTCAAGTCTCTGCTGCCGGTCTGTTGAGGCATGCTCAACGTGGCTTAGGAAAGTGGTACAAAACCAGAGCTTATGTTATATTAAATATTTTTTTACTTGTTCCCTATAAATCACAGCAGCTCCAGGAAGACAAAGTAGATACCTTAGAGGTGTGGTGTGTATGTGTGTGATATGTGTGTGTGGTGTATATATATGTGTGTGAATGTGTGTGTAGTGTATATGTGTGTGTGTGGTATGTATGTGTGGTATGTGTGTGAATGTGTATGTGTGATGTGTGTGTGTGGTGTATATGTGTGTGTATGGTGTGTGTAAGTGTGTAGTGTGTGTATGTGTGTGTGAATGTGTGTGTAGTGTATATGTGTGTGTGGTATGTATGTGAATGTATATGTGTGATGTGTGTGTGTGTGGTGTATATGTGCGTGTATGGTGTGTGTAAGTGTGTAGTGTGTGTATGTGTGTGTGAATGTGTGTATATGTATGTAAATGTGTGGTATGTGTATATGTGGTGTGTGTGTGTGTGAATGTGGTGTGTGTGTGTGTGTGGTATATATGTATGTGTATGAATGTGTGTGTGTGTGTGGTGTATATGTATGTGTGTGAATGTGGTGTGTGTGTGTGTGTGGTGTATATGTATGTGTGTGAATGTGTGTGTGTGTGGTGTATATGTGTGTTTATGGTGTGTGTAAGTGTGTGGTGTGTGTGTGTGAATGTGGTGTGTGTGTGTGTATTTTCAGTCTAGCATAGCAGGTCTTGGAGAGGAGGATGAAAAGTGGCTTTTCTTTGTTGTCTGGAGTCTCTTCCCCACAGTGCCCTCCTCATCCTTGATTTCTCTTCTCTCAATTAAGGACCACCAGCTTTTATTCTGCACTCATTCCTGTTTGTCGGGCTGAGAAGATCCACAGTCACCATAACAATGTGTTTCACTGTTCTTCTGAATCACTCAAGCAAAGATGCAGGGCCCTGCTAGGTCCTCAGATTCCTACCCCAGACTCCATCTTGGTCCTATGGGGACTTCACAGGTTCCTCCTTCACCCTGTTTCCTCAATACACATGTGGTTAGCACTGCCCCTCCCACCAGGCATTATCCCTTGTCAGGACCCCTCTATCATCTTCCCTTTCCCAGATGTTCGTCCCCATTTGCACTTGTCTAATCTACTCAGATTTTGAAAGCACACCTGATCGTCAAACACTCTTTTGGTTCTCCAGTGAACCTCAATGCCCTTGTGGCAAAGCTGGCATGGCCTTTCCAATGTCTAGAATCTGCTGACGTTTGTTTTTTGTTTTGTTTTTGTGAGACAGGGTATTGCCTTGGAGGCTGTCCTGGAACTCACTCTGTAGATCAGGTTGGCCTCGAACTCACAGAGATCCTCCTGCCTCTGCCTCCTGATTGCTGGGATTAAAGGAGTGTGCCACCACCACCCAGCTCTACTGACATTTCTAGGCTTACTTTGTTTCTCTCCCTAAGCTAATTTCCTGTAATAATAATTCTTTTCTCATTTTAATGCATGTGTGTGCAGGTGTGTGTGCAGGTGCGTGTGCACATATTTCCACACATGTGGAGGCCAGAGGCCAAGCTCAGATGCAATCCTCAGAAAGGCCTCCCACCTCCTTTAAGACAGGGTCTTTCATTGACCTGCAGCCCACCAGTTAGGCTAGACTGGCTGATCAGCAAAACCCCAGGATCCTTTTGTCCCTAGCTCTGGGATTACAAGTATATACCACTACACCCAGCATTTTTATGTGAGACCTGGGGACTGAACCAGGCCCTTATGCTTGGGGTACTTTTAAAGACAGATCCGTCTCCCCAGCCCATACTGCTCTTTTCTAACACCTGCCTCCTATGGCTGGCCTTAATAATTCTGGTTCTCCCTTAAGTTTTTCCATCTATTTCCCATTGTCATCAGAATGTGCCTTTTGACTTGATACCATCCACCCTAGTCTCCCTAGTCAGCTGAAGCATCGTTAAAGGCTTAATTCAGGACTGACTGGCTTTCCAAAGCCCAGTAGTCAAATCTCACGGGGAAGCCATCTCACCCAAGTCCTCACAGGTGTTGGGAGGGGATGAGCATGGGCAGGTCTTCATGGAGATCCCAGACCTCTGAGTGCTGCCATGAGCCATACTTGGCAAGTTACACGATTGCTTCGCCTGAGAAGTTGATTTCTGCTCATCACCACCCTTAATGTGCCGACCCAGTCCTTAGCTTGTGTTACTGCCCAAAAGGAGTCATGTTCTTTATTCATACATCTGCCTATCTCTGGCCCCATCCACCTTTCCTCCCCGCCCCCCCCCCAGGGTTATGCTATGGGAATCCCTTTCTGTGGTCCTGGCTTTATTTGGTTGTTCTATTCAGCATTCATGTTGTCATGTGGGAGGTTCGGGAAGAATTTCAGGCTATGTTAGAAGTTCAGCCTTTCCTCCTGTATGTCTTGGTATCTGCAAAAATTAATAATAGGGGAATATTATTTTCCGACCAGTTCTATTTTCCTATCCCATGTTGGTATAAATAAATAGGACAAAACATGAATGTTTTGGAATGTTATGGAATGTTTGGCTTCTTAAGCATTCTCCCTGAGAACAGAAAAGTCCGGAAGCAAGCCCCACAAGTGCAGCCCATTTTGCTTTTAAATGAGAAAAGTAGTGTGCAGGGAGGGGTGAAGAGCTCAGATCTAAAAAGGGCTAGGGAAACAGATTCCAGCTCCACCCCCGGCGGGCTCCGCCCCCGGCGGGCTCCGCCCCCGGCGGGCTCCGCCCTCGGCGGGCTCCACCCTCGGTGGGCTCCTATAGGAATGAGGAAGTGCTCAGATGCTGTCCTGCACCTGGGCCTCCTCCTGAGTCAGAAGTTAAGGGTGTTTGTATCTAAAGAACAAATCAGGTCACATATAAACTCCCAGCAGCCTAGCTCAGAACAGATTTTAGCCATAGCTGACACAGTATCCATGTTGATTTCTGTCTTCATAGCGTGTACCTTCTCTCCCCAGAAGATAGCTCCCTAGCTATTAATAACACTTCTCTAAAATGTTAAATGTGTATCAACTCGTGATTTTTACTGAGAGGTACAGATCTTTCTAAATCCTTGAACGTTTTAAAAAAGATTTATTTATTTCTATCTCTGTGTGTGTGTGTGTGTGTGTGTGTGTGTGTGTGTGTGGTGTTACTTCATATATATATCTGTGTACTACTTGCATGCTTCATGCCTGTAGGGGCCAGAGCAGGGCAATGATGGACCCCGGAAATGGAGTTACAGAGGTTGTGAGCTACCACACGGGCACTGAGAGCAGAACCTGGGTCCTCTGCAACAATCGCAAGTGCCCTTAACCACAGAGCATCCTTTGACCTTTTAAACCACACGACATTTTGTCCCTTTTCTCAGAGAGCGACAATGATCCTGAGGGAGTCCCTGGAAGCCAAAGTAGGAGCATTCGGTGACTTCAGCCCCGAGGTGGCAGAGACATACCGGGTCCTGGGCAGGGCAGACCTGGCACAGGGAAACCACTGCGGAGCACACACGAAACTAAAGAAGGTAAAGTGGGAGCCAGCACTGATGCCAAGGGAACCCTCCCTCACCTCCCATGCCCAGTCCTTTCCCTCCGTGCTCTGTGTAAGTGAAAATGTAGCAGCTTATTAGGGAAGATGGCATCACTTCTGTGGTAGATTTAAGTTAACAAAGGGAGATGGGGAGGGGTTGGTAAAAGAGTCCCTCTAATGTACATACATTCAAAAAATGAGTTTTTATCTGTCATGTTTGATCATACAAGTATTTTTAAATTTTTCATAATGTAACTTACTAAGCCTTTCTCATTGTTGTGGTCTTTCTGCATACCCAAATCACAGAGGAATTCTTTTATGCTTATTTCTTCTGCTCTTCTTTTGAACCTGGAGTTTTTCCATTTGTTTGTTTGTTTGTTTTTATGTATCTGGTATAAGGTCTCGTGTTATCTTTTCCCTAAATACCTGTAGTAGAAATGCACTGAATACTGGCTTGTCCACCACCATTTCATCCAAGAACCCAGCACTGCCCCCAGATACAGATTTAGGGTAACACCTCCACCACATACTACATTCTCAAATGTAGTGAGCTTGTGTCTGGATTTCTGTTCTAGTCTGCTAATCCCCTTTTATATAGGTGCCAACATCCCACATTTTCAGTTCTAGAGATTTTGTAGAATGGTTTAATGGCCTGGAAACTTGTTTTTCAACACACACATACACACACCAAAGAGTTTGTTTTTATTAAAGTATTTATAAATAAATTTTGGGAAAACTAACATCTGCATGATGTTGAGTCTTTACCCAGGAACAAGGGCTGCCATCTCATTTGCTCATGTCTGCTTTGTCTCTCAGGCACATTGAAAAGGGTATTTCTGTGCATTTTATTATTACTAATTCAATTGGAGATTTATTCATAATTACATATTTTTACTTGTTTTGTGTATCTAAGAATTACTGGGATTTATGCTTTAATTTTATAACCTTTCTAGCTAGCTTAGTTTTTCATTGCTCGGATTAATTTAAACATTGATTCTCTTAAATTTTTTAGATATACTATTATATCATCTGCAAATAAACATAATTTTACTTTGCGTTTTCAAGTTCAGTGCTTCTCACTGATTTCCCTTATGTGGTTGCTTTAGTTCACACATGCAGCACTATACTGGACAATAGTGGAGATAACGGGCCTTCTTCCCAGTCTTACTGGAAACAACTCCAGGGATTCTCCATTAACAGATGTGGACTTAGCCAGGCAGTGATGGTTCACACCTTTAACCCAAGGACCCAGGAGGCAGAGGCAGGTGGATCTCTGCGATTTTGAAACCAGCCTGATCTACAGAGCTAGTTCCAAGACAGCCAGACCTGTAACACAGAGAAACCATGTCTCAAAAAACAAAACAAACAAAAAAGATATGTGGATTTTAGAGCTACAGTCTACCCACTTTTACTATGTTAAGATTTCTAGTTTCACAAGTCCTTTTAAAATTAGAAATAGATGTCAATTTTTCTGGTTTTTTTTTTTTTTTCCAGCATTAGTAGGGATGATCACATGAATACTCCCAGATTCAGTTCATATGGTCCATGTTATTGTGATGTTGAACCATCCTTGCATTACTGGAATAAATCTTCCCCCTTGGTAAAATCAGATTGTTTTTTATAAAATGCTGTTATCTGAGTCAGTCTCATACTATCATGATAGAGTGTCAGGGGCCAAGGGATTCATGAAGAATAGAGGCTAGGAAGCTGAAAGTCAAGCAGCTTACATCTGATGGTGCCTGTTCTACACTTGATCTTAGCCAAAGGGCTGAGAAGTGATGATGCCCTTTTCTGTTTTGTTCATTCAAAGGCAAAAAAAAAAAAAAAAAAAAAAAAAAAAAAACAACCAGAAAGGCAAGAACAAACCAGAAAGGCAAGAGAGGGAAGCTGAATCCAGTCTTTTCAATGAACTTACTCCCATGATAACAGCACTGACCCACGAGTGAAGGTCAAACTTTTGATGTGGCCAGGTGCAGATGAAATATCATTGGTCATGTCCCTAACTCTTGTAGGTTATCCTGTCTGCAGGGCAGGGCCTGGGCATTGGATGTTAAGTCAGTTGTGTCAGAACACACTGCTCTTTGGCAAAACTCATCTCTTTCCTTTGTCCCAGTGACTGGCAGGTGCAGGTCCTGGTCACTGTCCTGTTATCTCTGGAGTGGGACTGGGGCTGGGAGATGTGTCTGACAGCTCCCTCAGGAGACTGCAGGTCCTGCTCTGGCTAACACTGCAGCACTCCAGAGCTCTGGAAATGGAAGCAAAGCTTCAAGAACATTTCAGTCACATCACCTCACCCCAAACCCACAGTGAGAGGTGACTTTGGTGGGGACTCATTCACCATTGGTCCTGACAACAGTGGCCTTGGTGCTGGCCACCTGCCAGCATCTGAGACAAGCCAGAGCTGGAGTGCCAGTGCTGTGCATGCTGTTCGTGCTGTAGCAGGGGCTGTTCTCATCCCCCCCAGGACTCAGGCAGGGACTTTAAGCATGCCTGCCTTTGTCATCGCTGCCTCGGGCTTCTCAAAGGCATATTTAGCACTGGGCTTTGGGAAGCCAGCAACCTTGTAAAAGCAAGTAGTTAAAGTGTTTGTCTTGTCTTTTGTTGTTGTTGTTATTGTTTTGTTTTTGTTTTTGTTTTTTATCACAATAGCCTCCCCTCTGAGTTTCATCCCAGAAATCAGATTCCACCACGTGTGGTTTTTCCAGATGTACCCTCCCATGCTAAATGGCCCAGATGTGAGCCCAAGGCCATGCTAAACAAGAAGGCTCCAGAAACACAGCAGACCCAGGGAATTGAATTACCAGAAAGCAAACCGAATTATTGATCTGCTATTTAAAGGCATCTGCCTGCAGGGGAATATTGGAAAACTCTATGGGTTCCAGATGGAAATTTCCACAGCATAAGCTCATTGCCTTTGGCAACATAGAGCCCTGTTTTGATCACATTCTCACCCAGGTGGAAGGCTTCAGAAAGGGATGGCCATCTCCTAGGTCAGTAATATCTTGGGACTATACCAGTCTCAGACACAATATGACTTTCGATTGGGGCCCAGCTTTAATCTGGCCCCACAACTAAGGACTGTCATGTTCAGGGTTCAGCTTATTACTTCATGTGTCACAGTTATCATCTTTAAACATTCCTGTAAAACAGTAACAGTCCCCAAAACTACTATAATAAATCTCTTTAAGAACAAGCTGGAACATGGTGTGTTTTATAGGACACAGACAAAAAAATCGATAACAACAGGGTCTCTCATGGTCCTACATCAACCCTAGAGAGCAAGCCATGCTGTCCCTGGGCTTCCTGCAGCCAGACAGACACTCATGCTCCTAGAAAGTGTGTTTCATGTACAGCCAGAGGACCCACATTGCACAGATCTGCCCCTGTTTGCTCTTCGTGACCCACAAAATGACTTTCTCTTTAGCCTATTTGAAATGTTGCTGTTGCCCTTGGATATGCCAGGAAATGCAGAGGCAAATTTAGATTCCCTAAGGGACCTCCACACGAGAAACCTCATTTTCATGTGTAGGTCATGTTTTCCTATGCTCCTGGCCTCCCTATTTGTCTCACTAAGTCACCGAGTCATGATTGGGATGGGCGGTCCACTTCCTTTAAAGATAGGAAGGTCTGAGCTGGGATGGTAGCTCAGAGGGAAAGTGCTCACCACAAATGCAGGAGGATGGGAGTTGGAATCTCCAGGACTAATGTAAATCCCAGCATGGTAGTGAATAATTCCAGTTCTCCAGGAAAGACTGGGACTCACAGCTAGGAAAGCCCTGGAAAGTCCAGGGCTGACTACCCTGGAGTCTGCAGCAGCAAGCAAGATTGTGGCTCTGCCTCAAAAAAAGTGGAAGATGAGGACTAGCTCCTTAGAGTATCTCTAACCTATACCACATATCACAGCACACACATACCTGCATTCACATATGCGTGGAGCGTGTGCACCACACCTACACACTGTAACTACACACATATACACCATACCTACATACCTACACACCACACTACACCTACACACCACACATACACACCATATACACACACCACACCTACACACATACATACCTACACACTATACCTATACACATACGCACCACATCTACACAAAATCTTTTTAAGGAGAGGAAGGTCATAATTGTGTTGGTTTTCCTTAGGCTCCAATCCGCAGCAGAGAAGGGATGCTTGAAAGAGTTTTTAGCACTGGCTCTTTGAAGATATTTGTAAATTGACTGGTAGAAAAGTAAGACCGATACTCTGAGGAGTCAAGGTCATTCATTCTTAACTTGCAATACGTAGAGTTTCCCTTGCTTATGATAGACTCAAAAAAATGAGAATTCCAGGTCTGCAGAAAAAGCCTGCCTCAACCTCCTGGCAGCCCAGCCTCCATGTTTGCGGTCTCCTAGCACACACAGCACAGTGGACCCAGACTGCCCATTGATTGGCTTGCATTCCTTCCTCATATGTTAGGACTCTTGCTGCAATCCAGCAGGTGCACAGTGCCTTAGTTCCTCCATTGGCATCAAGCTTTATAGGTGATGGACAGACACATAGGGAAAGGCTAAATCCCCAACTGTGCAAATTGAGTGTAATCTTAAACAGGCCAAAAGAGTAACAGCTAGGAATGGCAGATGCCAGCAGCACAAGGTCCAGAAGGAGCCCCCGTGATTTCTGAAGCCCTGCCGTCCGTGTGTGTGTGTGTGTGTGTGTGTGTGTGTGTGTGTGTGTGTGTGTGTTGGTGGAGGGGTGTGCAGCCGGGTCTGCCTGGGCATCCAGTCTTGTTTTCCAAATGTCTATGTCGCAGTTGTCCTAGGGGAAGATGATGCTAGCTTGCCCCAAGGGATGGAGCAAAGTTGTGGGGGGAGTCAAGGGATGTTGCTAAAGGCATAGAATTCACAGCACTTGACAACCTGGAGGTGAGGAGAGACGGCATGGATGACATCCACACCTGTGGCTAGCACCAGGGAGTACTGGGGGATGACTGACGCCCTCCCACCC